CCTTCGCCCTATTTTAGACAAAAATATCAATTCCAGTCAAGTTTTTTTTGTAATGCTCTGCTACCCACCTCATTGAGAGTACTAACTTCGTTCAATATTTTCTCCAGTGGATCATATAAATTTAGCGAAAGAAAGAATTATATGGGGATCAAATTAGCACATTTTGCGGTTCATAAAATTATTCCTTTAAAAGGAAAATTCGTTTATATGTTCCTGGTTTGGAACACCTGGGGGTTATTATAAAATCTGTTTTATAATATAGCATTTTTTCTTGATAAAACATTTAAAGATCTGTTTAGTAATGTTTATAGCCGAGAGATGGACATGCACTAGTTCCATGGCAATCTTGACTTTTTCCATTGCAGAGGGTCACTAAATAAATCAGAATATTGTGCAAACTGTCAAAGCAGATATAAGACATGTATATACAGGGTGTCCCAGAATAACGTATACAACGGAAGACCACAGATTCGTGGACTCAAAATAGACAGATTTTGCCTAATTCACCTATATCCCAAATCGTTTCGTTTGGCCGCTAGATGGCCTCAAATTTCGTGAAAATGTTTTGAATTTTGTAAATAACTCAAACATATATTAATCGATTTTGTTTATTTTTGGGGTGTGGACTTTAGCTTTCAATTTACAAATTTTGGTGTTATACAGAGTGTTTTTTAAATCTCACAACTCTTACAAAATTGATATATGGTGATAATATCAGTTCATAACTTCTTCCTCTTTCGGATAATAACGACAACTATTTTTTATTTGATAGGTGATACCATTTGGAAGTTTTTGGGCCTCTTATAGAATTTTGATTAAATGAGTGGTTTGGGTACAAAAAATATTTTTTAAATGTCTACATTTTCTTGACACTCATATTTTATTATAATACTTAACAAAGTGCTATAACTGATTTTGTAGGTTGACTGTAATTTCAGTTTGATCTTCAAGTCATTGTATCTGCCAATTATTAATGATATTGTATCATTCTATGATAAAATATACCACATGTTAATTTTTCTATATGAATACACAGATACGACGAATTAGAGTTATTTACAACGTGCCTAATTTTATTAAAATAAATCGTAAAAACAATCAAATACAATAAAAAAAATGCTGAAGATAAAGTAACAAAGTTGAGGTTATTAAATTTAGTAAAACTTATTATAAAAACTGTTCAAAATGACCACTGTTGTTTCTACAACAAAGGTTAATTCGGCGAAGAAGAAGGACACCTTTTGCAGTTCTTAAGGGCTATTTTTTAAAACATTTATGGCATTTTGGATATGACTCCACAACTCTTCTTCAGTGTTAGTCAGTTAACTGGAGTATTATCCCCTCTATCGATCCATCGACAAGGGACTCTTTGGTTTAGATACAGCTGGACATTTACAGTGAAATGTGATGGAGCGCCATCATGCAAAAACCATGTTAGCTCTGAGTAATAACGGCACATCTTCCAATAACACGGATTTTGCAAAAATTCGAACTAAAATTCCTCATTCAGTCTGTTGGGTAGATTAATAGGGCCAATATAATGCTATCAATGATCCCAAATCAAACATTGTTGCGAAATTCATGCTGACAATGTTTCACTTTGACAGCATGTGGACTTTTTTGAGCATACACACGATCATTGTAAATATTTATTAGGTATTCCGCTTCTAAGATAATGTATGTAATGTGTGGCAAGATGACGTATACACTTAAAAAATATTTTTTGTACACAAACCGCCCAATTAATAAAAAATCTATAAAAGGCCCAAAAACTTGCAAATAATATCACCTATTAAATAAAAAATAGCTGTCGTTATTGCCCTAAAGAGGAAAAAAATATGAACGAATATTATCACCATACATAAATTTTGTAGGAGTTGTAAGTTTAAAAAAACACTTTGTATAACACCAAAATGTGTAGATTGAGAGCTAAAGTCCACACCCCAAAAATAATCAAAATCGAATAATATGTATTCCAGTTATTTATAAAATTAAAAAAAATTTCACGAACTTTTAGGCCATCTAGCGGCCAAACGAAGCGATTTGGGATATAGGTGAGTTAGCCTAAATCGGTCTATTTTGAGTCCACGAATATGTGTACTTCTGTTATACATGTTATTCTGGGACACCCTGTATAACGTAACTTCAAAAAACGTAAATTCCAAAAAGCGACAAATGTATGTATAGGGCGTTTGATTCAAAAAAATAATAGTTTCGTTTATATGGTCGAAACACAACAGTTAATTGCTTTTTTATGAATTTCTATGAAATTGCAAGACAATTTCCTACAAATTTGATTTTTACCTTTTTTCCTAAATAGAAAGAAAAAAGATAAAGGGATATAATATTATGTGAATGACCTTTTACAATGAAATATGTATAGTAGGTACCTAAAATTTCGAAAATATTTTCTGGATAGAATGTATTTTCAGCAATACGCAAGCAGCTTTAGATTATTGCCTATAGGAACATCAGTATTCGGAGATTATTAAATTGTACAGTTAATATGATAACAACTCCTAACATACATTTATCGCAAGTTTGTAACTAGAAATTTGTAGCTCAAACTTTTACAATATTTTGTTTCCATCTAAATACTTTAAAATATATTACTTGCCTTACATTAACGTCAACAATCTTGATTCAATATTAAAATATTTCCATTTCAAGGTACGTTCTAATACTATCGATAATATCACAAGACACAAATAACTCACACTTTACACATTTAGCAAGTAGTTCATTGAGAAAAGAGCTAACAACAATAATGCTATCCATAAATGGAACGGTTTATAAATCGTATTACACTAACTATTATTATAATAAAATATGTTTGATAGTAGTTATTTGGTACAGGTAATCTGAAAGTTCAAATTCTGTAGTACCCTGTGTCTTTATATATTTCTTGCAATTCATAAAGCTAATTTAAAATATTATGTCGGACTTTGGATATTATATCCATCTCAAACACAATACGTAGAACTTTATTCAGTTAAAGTATCCTTTTTCATAAAGTAGTTTTATTTTCTTCTGTATTGTTAAAATTGAATACGTATTTATCAACATCTAGGTCGGATGAACAATAATTTGGTAGTAGGTATTTGGTACAGTATTTGGATATACTCGTAATTAATGACTACAGTAGCAAGTGCAAAGTGTAATCGTCAGACTTTTTTATTCTGCATTCTTGGCAGTGTGGACTTATCTCTTAAAAACACATTCATTCGTACATTTTACTGCTTATTCTGACTTTGATGGCAGCAACATAATCTTTTAAATCAGTACATATTAGTATAAAATAGGTGCGAGTTTTCTTCTCTTTAAAGATAGAAGTATCTGAATTACTAAATGCAAAACAGAGTTTTCATAGATTTATTTTTGTATACCTATTTCGGAATATTCATTTCAGTTCACTAAGTAAGAAGTAGAATAACAGAAAACCCTACAAAATTTTTCTAGTTCAATTATTAAAAACTTGTACCTACTTGTATATCTTAAATGTAGATAGTACTGGATGCATATTTATACACGCAGAACATGTAAACATCGACATTTTTAATCATAAAGTGCTCATTGGATATTGATAGTTGGTTATAGCTAAGATTATTTGTTTTTCTAGTTGCATATTACTTCTTATTTTTATTATTATTGCTATTATGATATTCAAGAAACATCAATCTTATAAAAATAAATTAGCAGATGTCTTTATACTTTTTTGGTAAATGACATTTTATTTTCTATGTACCTATTATTCGTTTAGTTATTGTTTCATTATTTTATTTATTTACTTGTTTGGCAATAATTTGAAAAAAAAACATTGAAGTATAAGATGTTTCTCCACAAACACCCATATTTTTTAAATATAAACATGCTTACTGAAATCAGCCAAAAATTATTTAAATAAAGGCAATTTCTGTTCCTTTTAAAATCGTTGGAAATGTAATAAAATATTATTGTATCCATACTACTTACTGCCCTCTATATCAACACACTTTGTTTCATTGTTACTTTTATTGATAATTAATAACTGGTACTGATTGTCTAAGACACGTTATTATTATTAGCTCCTTTCGTGATTAATTCCAAAAACACTGTAATTTTTTGTCTTATAATTACTTCTACATACACATACATTTCGAAAATATACCTAAGTTTATCCTTTACGTTCCAATAAACTTGTTAAATATTAATAAGCCAATTACTCCTAACATTAAAACACATTATACCACGTAATCTGATAATAATTTTGTTTATTATTGTACTCTCAATACGTAGTAACTGATATTGTTCTATAGGGGCAGTTTTTAAATCTAAACAATTCTTATAAGCGCCTCTTAGTACAATTCTAAGATGTATCTCATGCAATATCCCTTATCTTATAGTACGTCAGCAGTTTGAATATTATGTTACACATTTCTACAGATTAGAAGACATATTTTCTATTCTAACACCTAAACCAAACCGAAAATTATTTGGGAAAAATAAAAGTTCACTTTCATAGCATTTGAAAAAATATATTCACTCCTCGTCTAATAGTAAGCGTAATGCGGTTCAAAATTTATAAACAAATTATTTACTTGTAGTACCTAATTTAAGACACGCTTCAGGTGATGCTTAATAAAATACAATTTGTGAGTTTCCTAACATTCTTGGTACAATTTGTTTTAAAGCTTATAGTTACCACAAGCTTATATTTGTTTGAAATGTAAGTAACTGCTGAACATGTAAGAGTTCTGATTAAAATTTCTGCCTTAGTTTCGATCATAAACTTTGACTTGTGCTTATTGTGCGACTTCTATGACAATCAAATTGTCAAGACAAAACATTTACTTAATTCAATAATTCACAACTATTTCTTAACTATAACACTGACAATTCTTATTTTGTGTCTTCGACACAATTACAAACTCAGTCCAAAACAATCTCAGCAAGTCTGAGCAAATGACAAAGATTATGTCAATTCTTGTTACATCAAAACCACTAGGGTACCATTTCCAGGTTTAGACCCCAGTGTTATTGTAAATGTAAGATACGGCGTGGTCTTGTGATGGTGGTATCTTTCTTGTGGAAGAATTGTTGTTGTAAAAATGGGAGGACTTTCTCATGCTTGTAGACGAAGACATCATGGCCACAGTTTCGTAATATCTCAATCTTCCGCAACATTTTCTGCTTTTTATTATAGCAACGAAACCGCGCCTGTATTTTTTGTTGAAAAAGGCATACAAAATTGGATTAATACAAGAATTCGAGGCTCCTAACCACTGAGCTATTGGGGTCGCTATGGGTAAAATTTCTTCTTCCCATGGTTCGATGTCTCCTCCAAGTTTAATTCTAGCAAAAATGGCATACAATGGCAACCAGGAAATAACGAATAAAATAACAACCGCGACGAGCATCTTGACGACCTTGACTTTGGACTTTTGCTGCATCCTTTCCATTTGAGCATCTTTGGTGTCTGTTGGGATATCCCTCTTCCAAACCTTGATGTAAATTAAGACATAACACATGGTAATGAGAATCATCGGGAGGATGTAGCAGAAGAGAAGATTAGCCGTAAGGAAATAAAGGGATCCGTTCATTGGCTCGGGCCATACTTCGATGCAAAGTTGTACATCTGGAGCGTCGCTGAATATTACCACCAAGTCAAAAAATATCGCCCATGGAATAGTGGTGGTTAGGGCTACTAACCATATGAAGATAATCATTATTCTGGCACGCCTCTTTGTGATTTGGCATTTCAGGGGCCACCAGATTGCTAGGAACCTGAAAAGAAAACTGTGGTCAATTAAGTTTATATTAAGTATCAAAATTTATAAAATATGTAGGTACGACTAATAATGTTTTATAGGTTTTTCCTTTAAATGAGTCAACTAACATGTAAGAACAGAGTTTTAACTCTATTTATTTGGTTTAATGACAATCTTAAAGTTAAGAAAGATCAGCTCTCATCTCTGTTCATCATTTGCCGTGATTGTGGCGGATCTAAATTTCAGGGTTGTTTTCAACGTTTTTTAAAAACGTTACGAAAAGTGAATTAGGCTCTCTTTGTTTCGTATTTTTGGCAATCTTTGAATGTGATGCTTATGTTACGTAAGAGAGCTAACCAACTCAAATTCATTTTAATTTGCATAATATTCTAGCTTTTTTTGTTAAACATTTTGCGGATGAACTTATAAAGCTTTTCAGTATTTTTAAATAAATGCATATCAACTGATGGTTTCCTTAATATTTTTAAACTCACTAAAGTGGTTTTATTTTAATCGCGGCAATTTTTGGGAAAATATTTAAAATAATAATTAAGAAAAGTCTGACAAATTTGCTTTTGCTTGAGGATTAATATGCAACATTGGCTTTTTGGGAAGAGAGGCTTAACTGTGGATGTTGTTCCCAAAGTCATGAACTATCTGGTTGAAGACCTGGATGTCGCAGTTACCCTATGACCTTCTTATGAAGATACTTTTTAGATACGGCATTAGAGGTGTACCATTAAACCATTTTAGATCTTATATTATCTTCCAGGAAGCAATGTGTCAATTTAAGAAGCGACATATTTGATTTTACGCTAACAGAAAATGGGATGCCTCAAGGTTCCATACTGGAGTCCCTACTTTTCCTAATGTATATAAATGATATTATCTCTTATTTTTTCCTGAGAAAAGTATTCTATACGCTAATATATCTTTGATTTGTTGATATAGAAATGTGGTTCCTTAAAATGCAAAGTTAAAGAGAAATGGAAAACAAAGCATATGAGAAGATACAAATACAAAGATTTCTAAATGACAATTTTAAATTAAATTTAGATAAAACTCAACGCATACTTTTTTCCACCGATTAATGTTATAAATTGTTCTGCAGTTTATTTATTGGGTTTCGCTTACACTGACTGGTCGTGTTTGTTACCTTTTTTTTTAGGAAAAAACTGTAATTTTATTCACATATACCCGTTGTTACAGTCCCTTAATCAGAATATACTTTTGAAAATATATTTCTCATTGCTTCACTCCAATCTTTGTTGGGTTGTTCCTCTCTGGATCTCTGGAGAAATTTGTCTGCAATAAAGATATTTATAATGCAAAAGATGCCTTCAAAGTTCTGGACCACTGTCAGCCTCACTTAAAAAGTTGTCGGTAATGCATTTGCCTAGTCTTTTTAAATTTTATCAGCTTTTTAAGATATGTATGTATGTTTTATGTGTATGTGTGGAATACTAGCGTTTGTTATCATGACATTCGAAATGTTAGTTATTCGCGTATGTCTCGATTCCGCCAAACATAATCTTTTCAAAAATGCTCTAGAGTTAAATCTTTATCTGTATCTGAAGGTGTAAGAGATTTAAGTTTACTTAATTTAATTATTAAAAAATTTATATTTAAAAGTAGTATCTATTTAATAAATGTAGGTGTAGTACCATTCCTTTTTGTGAGTACCATTAATAGTCGCTCTCTATGTTTATATCTTGTTGCTCTGCTGTTATTATATTTTAGTGTCTACATTCCTTTCGCTTTTAATTAATTACATCCTATATTTATTGTTTTAGTATGTACTTTGTGCTTGTATGACTTGCTGCAACTGTATCCTGTTGTAAAAAAAGTTAAGTAAATTCATCTAAATCTAGATATCTTAAAAAGGGGCTAAATCAGTACGATAATTAAGGAAAGGCTTTTAAAGTCACGGTAAGAAGAAATACATTACAATTAATGAAACTCAAAATGTGGGCCAGTGGGTCTACTACAATATGAGCTAATACAGCAAATGCTATTGATTAAATTAAGAAGTGAAATTTAGAAATGTAAAATAGCATCTAAATTAATGTTGAATTTTAAATTTTACATTTTCCAAGGAAGCAGACTTTATTAGCTACTCTGACCGAAATCCTTGACCCAGAAGAGCATTCGGCGTTTTATGGATAAATTGGGAAGTAATAGATTTTAGGCAAATGCAGGATATTGGCTATAAATTTAAGAGTAAGTAGGTACGTGTCAAGCGAAACTTTGTATCAATTTAATTCAGTTACAGGAAGATTCACCTTTACAGTCTATTTCATTAGAAATAAGACACAGCTTAATTGGAGATAAGGTTAATGGAACTATTGACATGTCTTAGTAAATCGGTCTACTGATTGATAAAATAAAAAAATGGAATTCAGGTAATGGACAAGAACATCAAAAGTAGTATGTATTTGTGTGTATTGTACACTATTTGTGGAGAAAATATGATTTTAACATTTTGACATATAAATTGGACCAAAGATAAGGAAAATTTGCTTAATTTTGAGTACGTTATTTAAAAAAATATATAAATAAATTATTTATAATAAAGAAATCTTAAATGAAGAAGGATTTTATTATTTAAAAATAATCGCTTTTATGTGTCGGAAAAACTGTATGTATATTTTACAATAACATTTTAAGTACAGCTTTGTTTCTTTACAGGTAATACAATTGTTATCCGGTACAGGACGGTCATAAGAAAATTATGTAATTTTCCCATTTTCTGAGTTTGAGATATACTAATAATAGAAGTTATAGGAACATGTGTAAGTTTTTTGCTACACATATTGCAAAAATCGAGATTACTGTGATTACAGTCCTTTAACTGGAAAGCCAGATATATTTTTACATATTGGATAGAATGCTCTCTTATGACTATATTTCTTCTACATATTTCTGTTAGATATTTATGTTACATAATTATTTCTGTTACATATGTATTTATGTTACATATTTCTGTTTTACATATTTGGATAGAATGCTTTCTTATGACTATATTTCAGTTAGATTTGGTATAGGTACTTCTAATAATAAATGAAATCCAGCCAAAGGACAATACTGTAAGCATTAAAAATAAAATGTGATAATCAGTTTTCAGCATACTGAGCCTTTGTCTAAAGCCAGGACCGAGGCCAGGACTATATCTACTACATTGCCGCACCTATTTAGTGCTCAGCCGAAATTATGAGTAATTCTTTTACACTTTGCTAATTATATCGCTGTTCCTCTATCTGTATTACAGTCTTTAAGCCCTTTTAGCAGCACTTTTTAAGTTTGGCTTTATCCCTTAGGATCTGCGTCAAAGACACAGAAAATCCGGGAAAGGATGAATGCTAGATTTATAATCTGGATCTCGAGCGATGAGCTTGAATGTTTAGCACTGTAAGTTTATTATTAAATATTTACAATGAATTCTGAAAAAACTATTTATTTTTCAGATCTTTTGTTTTTGGCATGTGAAATCCTACATAGGGGCATATTTCTCTTTAAATAAGCAAGAACGGCTACCAGGCGTCGAAAGATAACGAATACGCTTGAAGTCGGGTCTTGTATACACACTGACCATATACTTTTGCTCTGGTTATTAAACTGCATGATGCCAGGGCAGACATTCGATCCCGCTTCATTGTGATTCTGCCAGCTGTTAGTGACTGCTTTTTGGTATAATGAAATACAATACAATATTTAAAATATTAGTGTATTAAACTAAAAAAAAAACGAAAGTTTGGTATATACCACAGTAACATGATATTTTATTATTGTTGCAACATTAAAAAATATAAAAGGTTTTCGACGAATTTCTTTGGTACTTTTTTCTACATTTAAAGCAAACTGAATTGTCTGATAATCACTTTCATTGTGTTTTCCAATTAGTTATGATTAAGTTTCTAGAAAATAAGTTAATTTCTTGTGTTAATCAAACACGCACGTTACATTTTGGGACTAACAAACGACGTAACAACGGATTCTTGTAATAATCAGGTTTAACTGCTGAAGAGACTCCAGTGATGCGTTGGTGTCGGTTTAGGTTGTAGGTCAGTTTCAAATAACGGGATTGTGGCAATTGTAAAATAAGCATTGAATGGGGTCGTGTCAAACACTACAAATGTCTTTATAACACAACATACAGCGTGTCCCACTAGTTCGGGAAAGTCCAATATCTATGTTAAAATGAGGAATATATGGATTTTTCTTTTTACTGTGTTGCCACATTTCTCGGAATGTACAAATTAAAAATATATTCAACTATACAGGGTGTTCCACTTTTCCTGGCCAGACACCAACTTTGGTTTTTTAAATGGAAACACACATTTTTTTATATTTTTTTCGGATTCTACATAAAAAATAAAGGGTACTTTGTGTAGAATAGTTCTATTCAAATATTCACAGTTTTTGAGATATCTCGCTTGAAAGGTTTTTCTAGTCGATATTGGCTGCTTACATTTTCTGATACTGACAGGTTATACTAATAGCTACTAAGCCCATTTTTTATCAGATGTTTAGTAAGGATGACTCTTCCGAATCATGCTCCAAAAACTGGCCTGCGTTATACAGGGTGACCAAAATATCATGTCAAAATTGCCAATTGAAAAATCTCGAATTTTTTAAATGCAACACCCTGTATATTTTCATACCATGAGATGCAGAATTAAATTCTCTACAACTTTGCTATACCCGCTCCTATACCAAAATTCATTAGTTTTCCATGAAATCTCATTTCTATGAAAAAATGCGAAGTTTACAAATAGCTTATATGTAAAATAACGTAGTAGGCTCCTGTCAAAGGATAATCTGGAAAATTTTCGATTCACATTTGGTTTAATAGAAAAGCGACAGTAATAATAGTGAAATGAATTACTCTAAAGAAGAATTAGTAAATAAATAATAGAATAATTAGTAAAACTCATGGTAACTGTTTATTGACAAGTATTTACCACTTTTCGTCGTAGTGTAATTGCTCAATGTCTAGAGATAATTGGCAGACATTTT